TGTGGCCTCTGGCTAACAATTCTGTGTCCCTCGTAACCCTGTCCTCTGCTGCAATTCTGTGTCCCTCGCTAAAACATTGCCTCCTCTGCCACTAACAATTCGTGTTGTCCCTGACATACTCTTTGTGTCCCTGAAACAATTCTGTGTCCCTGAGTAACAATTCTGTGTCCTGTGTAACCTTCTGTGTCCCTGAGTAACAATTCTGTGTCTGTCCCTGAGTAACAATTCTGTGTCCCTCAGTAACAATTCTGTGTCCCTCAGTAACAATTCTGTGTCTGTCCCTGAGTAACAATTCTGTGTCCCTCAGTAACAATTCTGTGTCCCTCAGTAACAATTCTGTGTCTGTCCCTGAGTAACAATTCTGTGTCCCTGAGTAACAATTCTGTGTCCCTGAGTAACAATTCTGTGTCCCTGAGTAACAATTCTGTGTCCCTGAGTAACAATTCTGTGTCCCTGAGTAACAATTCTGTGTGTCCCTGAGTAACAATTCTGTGTCCCTCAGTAACAATTCTGTGTCCCTCAGTAACAATTCTGTGTCCCTCAGTAACAATTCTGTGTCCCTCTGAGTAACAATTCTGTGTCCCTGTCAGTAGTAACAATTCTGTGTCCCTCAGTAACAATTCTGTGTCCCTGAGTAACAATTCTGTGTCCCCTGAGTAACAATTCTGTGTCCCTGAGTAACAATTTCTGTGTCCCTGAGTAACAATTGTGTGTCCCTGAGTAACAATTCTGTGTCCCTCAGTAACAATTCTGTGTCCCTGAGTAACAATTCTGTGTCCCTGAGTAACAATTCTGTGTCCCTCAGTAACAATTCTGTGTCCCTGAGTAACAATTCTGTGTGTCCCTCAGTAACAATTCTGTGTCCCTCAGTAACAATTCTGTGTCCCTCAGTAACAATTCTGTGTCCCTCAGTAACAATTCTGTGTCCCCTGAGTAACAATTCTGTGTCCCTCAGTAACAAACTGTGTCCCTGAGTAACAATCTGTGTCCCTGAGTAACAATTCTGTGTCCCTGAGTAACAATTCTGTGTCCCTCAGTAACAATTCTGTGTCCCTCAGTAACAATTCTGTGTCCCTCAGTAACAATTCTGTGTTCCCTGAGTAACAATTCTGTGTCCCTGAGTAACAATTCTGTGTCCCTCAGTAACAATTCTGTGTCCCTCAGTAACAATTCTGTGTCCCTCAGTAACAATTCTGTGTCCCCTGAGTAACAATTCTGTGTCCCTGAGTAACAATTCTGTGTCCCTGAGTAACAATTCTGTGTCCCTGAGTAACAATTCTGTGTCTCTCTGTAACAATTCTGTGTCCCTCAGTAACAATTCTGTGTCCCTCAGTAACAATTCTGTGTCCCTCAGTAACAATTCTGTGTCTGTCCCTGAGTAACAATTCTGTGTCCCTCAGTAACAATTCTGTGTCCCTCAGTAACAATTCTGTGTCTGTCCCTGAGTAACAATTCTGTGTCTGTCCCTGAGTAACAGTTCTGTGTCCCTGAGTAACAATTCTGTGTCCCTGAGTAACAATTCTGTGTCCCTGAGTAACAATTCTGTGTCCCTCAGTAACAATTCTGTGTCTGTCCCTGAGTAACAATTCTGTGTCCCTGAGTAACAATTCTGTGTCCCTGAGTAACAGTTCTGTGTCCCTGAGTAACAATTCTGTGTCCCTGAGTAACAATTATGTGTCCCTCAGTAACAATTCTGTGTCTGTCCCTAAGTAACAATTCTGTGTCCCTCAGTAACAATTCTGTGTCCCTCAGTAACAATTCTGTGTCCCTGAGTAACAGTTCTGTGTCCCTGAGTAACAATTCTGTGTCCCTGAGTAACAGTTCTGTGTCCCTGAGTAACAATTCTGTGTCCCTAAGTAACAATTCTGTGTCCCTCAGTAACAATTCTGTGTCCCTCAGTAACAATTCTGTGTCCCTCAGTAACAATTCTGTGTCTGTCCCTGAGTAACAATTCTGTGTCCCTCAGTAACAATTCTGTGTCCCTCAGTAACAATTCTGTGTCTGTCCTGAGTAACAATTCTGTGTCCCCTGAGTAACAATTCTGTGTCCCTCAGTAACAATTCTGTGTCCCTCAGTAACAATTCTGTGTCCCTGAGTAACAATTCTGTGTCCCCTGAGTAACAATTCTGTGTCCCTGAGTAACAATTCTGTGTCCCTGAGTAACAATTCTGTGTCCCTGAGTAACAATTCTGTGTCCCTGAGTAACAATTCTGTGTCCCTCAGTAACAATTCTGTGTCCCTCAGTTACAATTCTGTGTCTGTGTCTGTCCCTCAGTAACAATTCTGTGTCCCTCAGTAACAATTCTGTGTCCCTCAGTAACAATTCTGTGTCCCTCAGTAACAATTCTGTGTCTGTCCCTGAGTAACAATTCTGTGTCCCTGAGTAACAGTTCTGTGTCCCTGAGTAACAATTCTGTGTCCCTGAGTAACAATTCTGTAACAATGTCCCTGAGTAACAATTCTGTGTCCCTCTGTGTCCCTCTGTAACAATTCTGTGTCCCTCAGTAACAATTCTGTGTCTGTCCCTTAGTAACAATTCTGTGTCCCTCAGTAACAATTCTGTGTCCCTCAGTAACAATTCTGTGTCTGTCCCTGAGTAACAATTCTGTGTCCCTCAGTAACAATTCTGTGTCCCTCAGTAACAATTCTGTGTCTGTCCCTGAGTAACAATTCTGTGTCTGTCCCTGAGTAACAGTTCTGTGTCCCTGAGTAACAATTCTGTGTCCCTGAGTAACATCGATTTTTCCTAATCTTCGAAACGAATTCCACTTCGCCAAGTTCGATTCGTTCATCTCTAATCACCAGCAACCTTTTGACATCACTCTTCTTTTGTGCACAAGAGGAAGGGCCTTCTTTAGGAATCCATATGACTACCTGTCTTACTTAGATGTCTACTGTTGCTTTTCCAGCTCCAGAAACTTCTCTCAATCTAAATAATAGTCATCAGGTGATGACATCAGTGCCAGACATCTGTTGGGGACTGGCTGATCAATGCCCCTATGCAGTGCATGATTACCAGTCCCCCAAACCCTAAAAGATTGCCAATGATGGACCACAATGGCAGACTTAGGTAAGTACAAAATGTATTTAAAAAAGGTACTAGAAAATATACAGAATGGGTAAGAATTTTGGCTAGGGATGGGCTGTTTCAGGGACTGTAGTGAAATACAGCTTCCTCTGTCAAATAAATAATGCTTATAGGATAAGTTCCCCTTTGGGAACATGTAAAATGTTCCAGCTGTTTTTAGGATGGAACATGTAACATGTTCCTGCAGCTCTCCTTCTTCTTACCCCCTCCCTGTGACAGCAGTCCAGGGATCTTCTCCCCGCACCCACTGTCACAGTTTGAAAGAGTGCAACCGTGTGAGACTCCATCCACATGGCCATGTCATTCATTCACAGAGTTCTGTGAATGAATGCCTACAAGTACAGTCACCCTTTGGTGGCTGACGGCTTGTAATTCTCAGGGATGGGGCACCATCATTGGTGTCAGTGGGAGGAATAATGCCCCATCATTGGTGTCAGTGTGGGAGGAATAGTGCCCAGTCATTGGTGTCAATAGAAGGAATAGTGTCCCACTGTTGTTGTCAGTGGGAGGAATAGTGCCCTATCATTGGTGTCAGTGGGAGGAATAGTGCCCCATCGTTGTTGCCAGTGGGGGAGGAATAGTGCCCCATCATTGGTGTCAGTGGGAGGAATAGTGCCCCATCATTGGTGTCAGTGGGAGGAATAGTGCCCCATCATTGGTGTCAGTGGGAGGAATAGTGCCCCATCATTGGTATCAGTGGGAGGAATAGCACCCCACCGCTGTTGTCAATGGGTGGAGCTCTAATAGGAAATTGTGAAGCCTAAAGAGGAAGGGGTGGAGTTTACAGATAAATGGGTGGATCTTAAACAAGAAGGGGTGGGACAAAGATGCGGGAAGGAGTCTGATTTTAGTCTTGCTTAGGGCAGCACAAAACCAAAATACACCACTGCAGTCAGCGCCGCCCATCAGTGTTGCCCATCAGTGCCGCCTATCAGTGACCATCATTGCTGCATATCAGTGCACCACCATCAGTGCAGCATCATCAGTGCCGCCCATCAGTGCCCATCAGTGCTGTCTATCCATGCCACCTCATCAGTGCCCATCAGTGCCGCCTATCAGTGCTGCCTATCAGTGCAGCCTCATCAACACACATCAGTGAAAGAGAAAAATTATCTGTTTTTATAATAAAAACAAAGAAATACTTTTTTTTTTCAGATTTTTTGCTCTTTTTTGTTTATAGTGCAAAAAATAAAACACCCAATGGTGATTACATACCACCAAAAGAAAGCTCTATTTGTGTGAAAACATTATACAAATTTCATTTTGGTACAATATTGCATGACCGCGCAATTGTCATTCAAAGTAAAACAGTGCTGAAAGCTGAAAATTGGCCTGGGCACAAAGGGGGTATAAGTGCCTGGTAGGCAAGTGATTAAATTAGTTAGAATTTAACTCTATCTGAGCAGCACAAACTGAAAATGTAATTTCATTCATTTTTAATAATCAAAGTAAAATCACCTATCCATCTCTGTTGCCTAGGGTTATTTTGTTGAAAAATCACTTTAAACATATTCCCCTTTTCCCCAGTATTTCTAACTGTGGCAGATGATTCACGTAGCATATACTTCCTGGAATCCATCTGCCCTTAGCACATACATGCAGGCAGGAGGGTGTACTAAGTCAAAAAATCCCTCCTCCAGATGAAAGCTAAAAAATGACAATGATGAATACTCCTGGGATGTCATCATTTGGCCAGAAACCAGGAAGCAACTGAAGAGATGTACAAACATTTTTTAACCACTTCCGCGCCGCCCTATAGAAGAAATACTGCTACAGGGTGGCACGGCGTGCGAAATCACGTATATATATGTGATTTTGCATTTCCGGGTAGGGGGCACGCATGCCCTACCCGCGCTACCATTTGTGGCTTTGGTTGTCAATTACCGGGTCCTGGCCAGTGATTACTCGCCGGCACCCGGTGATCACCAAGTATCTCCTATGGGGGAGAGACCTCTCCCCTGTTAGTTCCATAGCAGAGCTGCATAGCAGAGCCATACAAAGCAGTGTGCTTACAGTGAAACACAGCACACTTAGTAAAACACACACACAGCACACAATTAACCCTTTGATCGCCCCACATTAACCCCTTCCTGCCATAAACCTTGTAATACAGATCTCACCGCTGTCAGCTCCTGCTTTGCATAGCAGACCCATACAAAGCAGTGATCTTACAGTGAAACACACACACAGCCCCCACAGTAAAACAGCACACAACACACAGTTAACCCTTTGATCGCCCCACATGTTAACCCCTTCCTGCCCAGTGCCATTAGTACAGTGTCAGTGCTTTTTATTAGCACTGATCACTGTATTGGTGTCACTGGGGATGCCAGTGACAACAAGTCAGTTCCCCCCAGAATGTCAGAATGCCCGCCGCAGTCCCGCAATCCTGCTATAAGCCGCCATTACTAGTAAAACAAAAATTCCAGTATCTATACAGCCATTTGTAGATGCTAGAACTGTTAAACCAATTAATTTACACGTAATGGGATTTTTTTTATCAAAGACATGTAGCAGAATACATTTGATGAAATTTGATTTTTTAATTTTTTTTAGTGGACGTGTTTAATAGCAAAAAGTGTTTTCTCAAAATTGTAATTTTTTGTTTTGTTTATAGCGCAAAAAATAAAAAAACTCACAGGCAATCAAATACCACCAAAAGAAAGTTCTATTTGTGGGAAAGAGGACATACATTTCATTTGGGGGCAGCATTGTATGACTGCGCAATTGTCAGTTAAAGTAACACAGCGCCGTATTGTAAAAAATGGCCTGGTCAGGAAGGGGGGTAAATCCTCTGGTGGGCAAGTGGTTAAACAAATAAATATAACATACCTTTCTATTTATTTACTAATGCTAGCAACATACAAATTAGAAATAGTTAATGCTCATCGAAGTTCTGCTTTAAGTACAAGCAAGAAGTAGTTAATGCTAAGAAAAACCATTAATTTCTTCTAACTTCAATATGTAGCAAGCTGATTTGTTTTTGCCAAAAGGAGCAGCATGCTTGCAACATATATAAAATGAATATTTGCAGAGAGGAACAAAGATCACTCTTCTGCAGCATCTAATTAGGGATTTGTTTAATATTCATTGCAATGGTGCTGAGCATAATGTTTGCGTCTGATATTCATGTGTCTGTCACATTTGCTTGTGCAGGTATTCCATTTCTTGAAGGAAGGGAAGTGCAAACTCCCCACTCAGTGCAGTATTTATGATAAGAGAGGGGATGAGGGGAGAAAAGGCCATGCTAAATTGTTTGACTGAAGGGCTCAGCTGAAGCAATTGCTGATCAGCTCCTCTCTGAGACCTGAAAGCTGGAATGGAACAGGATTTTTTTTTTAATCTGTCATGATTTTTTAAGTAAAAAGGCTTATTTGAGGTGTCTGCTTTGTGTATAAAATATATATATATATATATATATATATATATATATACACAGTATATGGTGAAGAAGAGATATTGGCAGTATATTCTCTAAGCTCACCAAGCTTTCGTAATCGTAATACTCATTTTATCCTCACACACATCTGGAGTTTACATTAAAGTGGTCCTGTCAATGATAAATATCTCAATAGACACCAAGATATAAAATGTTTCTAGAATAGATTTGTTATTTTGAGTAGATTTGCTAAGAAAATCAATAACATTTTGCACATTGAGAATGACACGTCGTGGATGCCCAGACAGGTTGTGCGAGTTGCTAAAAAACAATTTTTTGTTGTAACTAAATTAAGTATTTTGCTGATTGTTTGCATGTAACAAACATGCCAGCTCATACGCGGCATATTTGCAAATCCTTAGAAAGAACATTTTCAATTTCAGTAATGATTATACAAGGCAATCATGGACTGTTAACACAGTGACAATATGAAAACATTTCTACATACCTAGGAGAATACTGCAAGGGAGGAGGATTGAAAAAGAAGAGTGTCTTAAAAGCTTTTCCTCGGTTTATCAAACATTACAAAAACCATAGTGGAGGCAGCTGCAGCCAACCTGTTACCCATATCAACTAATTTAACCACTTGCCTACTGGGCACTTTCACCCCCTTCCTGCCCAGGCCAATGTTCAGCTTTCACTGCTGTCACACTTTGAATGACAATTGCACGGCCATGCAACACTTCACCCATATGAATTTTTTGTCATTTATTTTTAGACAGATAGAGCCTTCTTTTGGTGGTATTTAACCACTGCTGGGTTTTTTATTTTTTGATAAAAAAAACAAAAACAACTGATAATTTTGAAAACAAACAAGTTTTTTTCTTAGTTTTTGTTATAAAATTTTATAAATGAGTAATTTTTTTTCTTTCACTGATGTGCGCAAATGAGGCTGCAGTGATGGGCACTGATGAGGAGGCACTGTTGGGCATTGACAGGCATCGCTGGTGGGCATTTACAGACATCACTGATGGGCACTGAAAGACAGTACTTATATATGGTACTGATAGGCTGTACTGATAGGCAGCATTGACTGGCACTGATAGGCAGCACTGACTGGCACTGATCGGTGGCACTGATTGGCACTGTTAGGTGGCACTGACTGGAACTGTTAGGTGGCACTGACGGGTACTGATAGGTGGCACTGGTGGGCACTGATAGGCGTCACTGACGGGCACTGATAGGCAGAACTCATAGGCGTCAGTGCCCTGATGATCACTGTAAATGTCCCCTGTAAATGCCGATTACTGGCTCTCCTCTCCTCACGAGCTGTCAGCTTGACAGCTCGCGAGGAGAGAAATGCCAATATCCGGCATTTCCTTATTTACAAGCGATCAGCTGTGACTGGATACAGCTGATCACATGACAGAGCCGGGGGCGGAGACAATGGCTTCAATTGGTGTGTTTCAGCCAATGAGGAGGCAGAGACCAGGAATAGACCCACTCCTATTGTGCACATCGCTGGATCGAGATCAGGGTCAGGTAAATATTTGAGGGTAGCAGGACGGGGCGGAGCTGAGGGGAGAGCTGCACACTGACGGTTTTTTACCTTCATGCAGTAAAAAAAAAAAGGTAAAAAACTTTCAGCCTTTATAACCATTTTAATGAACTATGAGAGAGCTCAGAAGTGCCTCACAGTTAATTGAGAATTAGAAGCCATCTGCTGCGGTGGCAGATAGTAGTTGTAGTTCATACAGAACTCTGTGAATGGATGACATGGTGGGCAGAGCCACAGACAGCTACTCTGTTTTCAGATTGTGACAGTGAGTGCAGAGAGAGGATCCCCCAACCACTGTCACAAAGGGGGATGAGGGGGAGCTGCAGCTTTAGTAGCATGTTACATCCTGAATATGGAGGTAACATGTTACTGAAAGTGAACTCATACTTTCATTTATTTCCAAAAAATAAAAAAAGATGTTATGTGTATAAAGTGCAGCGATAGCTAGCGCTGCACTTTATACACATTTGTTATTGAGAGATTCCTTGTCATTGTCTCTTGTGCTAGCTGCTTTTTTGCTATATACAGAACTCGCCATATATAATTTTGAGATTTAAAAAGATGTTATACTTCCCTGCTCTGTGTAATGATTTTGCACAGAGTCGCACCTTACATTTCCTTCTGGGGTCCCCCACCTGTGCTCTTGGCTCCTCATCTACTCCAAGTGCCCCCATAGCAAGTTGCTTGCTACGAGGGTACACTTGCAGGTGCACTCCCGAGCTGGGCTGCATGTGTCCATAGACACACACAGCACAGCTTGGCACCACCCCCTGCTCCATCCTCATAGGATGTAAATGTCAGCAGCAGGAACTAATTGCTCCCGCTGAGCCTCCAGTGAATAAAGGAAGAGAGAAGAAGAGCTGCTGCAGATTGGACAGTACTGGACCAAGAGAAGACTCAGGTATGTGTTTAACCCCTTTGTGCCGGCACCTCCCAACCCTTTAAATGTTTCAGACGCCGGGAGATGGGGCGGGGTTTTAGAGTCATGAGACCGCCGTAATTTGCTGTCATGGCGGTCACACGATTGGAAAAGGTCCCAATCACAAAGGGAGATCGGGACCTTTCCGTGAGTCACAGACATATGTGCTGGGAGCACGCAGGGCACGTGCTGTCAGCACATATGTATTTTCAAATGGTACGCAAATATGAGGCTGCTCGGAGTCAAGGCCCGGACACCGAAAGGCCGCATATTTGCGTGTGCTTGGCATCTAGGGGTTAAGGAGGGATGCTGGGGTAAGCTACGATTGAAAGGTTTTTTCCCTTGAAGCAGAGAATGAATTAAAGTTTAAAAAAAAAAACCTTTTGCCTTTAGAACCTACTGTCTTCACTTGCAAAATAAACTTGATAGTTGTGAACAATCTAGATCAGAGTAAGGGTTTGTGTCAATGGAAAACACCCCTTGGTTTCAGGTGCATTTAAAGCTGAAATAAACTGTAATACTTATCTTATCCTTGGCTTCAGTAGGCTACAGCACTGTCCTCAAACCTCAAACTCCGTCTTTGGGCAGGCCCTTTACATTATTATGTATAGTGCAGGGCTATTAACCCTGTATTTTAGGTGAGGAGGTGGGTATGCAACAGTGGCCCAAAGCTGCTTAGAGAGAACACTGTGGGTGACCCATCATATGGATTGAGGAAGCCTGCTGGAACTCTAGACTAAACAAGTATCTAACCCTTGCAGTGCGGAAAGGTGTGTGTGTGTGTGTGTGTGTGTGTGTGTGTGTGGGGGGGGGGGGGGGGTCATTGGAAGGGTAGATTTTGTCTCATTCCCACAGTTCAGCTAACTTGTATTTGTGATCAGTTTGTGATGATTCTCCAATTATTCAGAGTTTCTTCACAGGTGCACTTGACCTGCTATTGATCATCTGCTAAACTCTATAAAGCTTGCATTTCATTTGACTTGCATGGAGAGAAATAGTCCTAAGTGAATATAAGATCAGTTATATTGGCCTTAAAAATATTTACTGCAACTGTGCCATAGGGAAAAACCCTCATGTCTCCTTTTTTTGTAATTACGAGAGAAGTATTAGTAGAAATGTGTATACTGCTGCCTACATAAATGTGGTAAACCTTGTGCTATTATAATCATCAGCAGATCTGGTCAAAACTCAGAAATTTGCAGGGTTTTTTGGGTGAGTGGGATGTTTATGGGACTCCAGAAGAAACCCTTTGTAGACCTAAAGTGGTAGTAAACACCGAAAAGTAAGCACTAGAAATTTACTTTCCACCATCCCAATCTTCACCCCTCCACATATCCCATGAGGCTGCAGGACACGTCCCCACAGCACAAAATAAATCAGTATTGATTGGGGGGCTAGCTGGAAGAAGCCTGAAGAGACAGTTGCCCCCCCCAATGACAAAGTAAACATAGATTGAACGAGACATGCAGCAGGAGAACAATTAGGAAGGCATGGAATTCACTAGAATTATAAATGGTTTTCCTGGATAAAAG